TTGAGTGAAATTAAAGATTTGCGGCAGTGGCTTCCGCCAATTTTATTTTCTGGAAAAACCTCAGGATTTTTCTTTTCCGCAGAATTGTTCATTTAATGTTTACAAAAGATAATTAAATTAAATCAATCAGCCAATGAATTTTAGCTGTGCCTACGGCTCGTGTTTTATATCGGATCGTAAACAATGGTCGTGTCAGCGTAGAACAAGGTCTTCTTCAATTTTTCAGCGAATGCTTTTTATAAAAGTTTAAACGCTAAGTGTTTTATAGCCTTTATAGTTTTATAGCCTTTTATAGTTCTCTTCACAGCCAAGCCTAGCCAGGTTAAGCGTCTTTAAGCAAGGTCAACATCTTTCAAATTTGATTTACATGTGCTATTAACAACCGAGCTGTTTTCACTAATTTTTATTTTCAAGTTTGTTTTCTAACTAGCAGTTGAGAAGTGCTGCTGTTGTTTTATTTGTCTAAAAGTATTTAATGATTTTAGTTTAGCACAAATTTGTTGGAGAGTGATTTAGGTAACCGACGATGTGTACTTCTCCTTCGAGCGTGATTAACTTTTATGGAACGTGCGAAACAAGCAAAGAAAGAAAACTACTAGTGAAAGAATGAATCTAAAAAAAAAATACGATAGAATTAAAAAAATAACTGGGGTGAATACTCCAGTACTAAATTGACTGTTATTTTCTATGTTAGTTATTTACCTTTTTGTTCTGTAAGTTTGACTTGGACGTGGCAAAGGATACCCGGCGATTCACGTCAGAGTACCCGCCGGAGCTCCGGCGGGTGCCGGGTGTTATTGAAAGCACTGTGTTGGTGTTTAGTTGTTCGAGTAAAGCGAAAATTAATCGCTTGAGAACTCTTGGAGAGCAAGATTCGCCGATAAACACTCGAAGACACAAACGGCTCTTGTAGGAGCCACCACTCAAAGAAAAAGTCAATGAACTACAGCAACACGCTCTCAGTTTCTGTTATGTTTATTTCTTGGCATCTTAAGAAGTTTTATGAATATTAATTAGGTTTTTGAGAACTCCAAACACAGATGTATCCATGGATAAGCCACACCTTGATTTTTGGCTTCAATTTTGTGAAAAAAAGTGCGGCTTATACATGGACGTTTACGGTAGTTGAAAGCGATAACACGTTTACGTACTTTCTCCAGGACCATGCCAGTGGATTTTCCTGTTAGACAAGCACCTTTTCTCGTTCTCTTGCCTAGTCGTCAAAGCCCCAAACAACCCACTTTTCAATTTAATCCTAAAGGAAAAGCTGGAGTCCATATCCTTTCTAGTCGTGTTAAGCATAAATTAAAATGTTGGTCAACTCGGAAATATTTTAGATTTCTTTTATAGTCACGCGTCATGGGTAGCTGTTGCTTTTTAACGAGATGAGTGTTTTCCCTTGGTTTAGATGGATTACCTCGCACGAGCGATGCGAATGGAGGAGATTCCTTTACTGAAGCAACAGTACGAGGAACACCTCGTGCAGGACCAAAAGTTCTGGGAAGAACAGGAAGAAGACAGGGTCAGTGGACATTAAATTGTGATCAAATGTACAGTTGAACCTTGACAAGGCTAGAAAGGGAGGCATCAAGCTCTCCATAACGAGGAATACGATTTCTGCTGCAGTTCACACGTATTTGTATCTGTTACCTTCACGGTTAGCGGTCTCACGACCAGCGTGCCTCGCGTCATACTGGTCACGTGACACATTTCAACTAATGATGAATGATCACGAATAACCATTACTTAACTTTGACGTTCTTCTTTGTTCGGCTCGAATTCCAGATCAGTGTTGCAGTGTCGGAGCATAAGAAGCTAGTAGAAACCAGTGGAAGGCTGCAGCGAATGGTACCAGACAAGGAGAATTTCGTTGACAGCCTACTTAAAGCTCGTCAGGCGTCTCACGAGGTGAATGCAATGCTTCTGCTTTAGAGCTTTCATCGTCGCTAACATAATTAGTTGTCCTTAACGAGGAGCGCTTTTCGATTGAAGGTGGGAAAAGTTAAATAATGGTATAAAACCCTTCATTTCCAAACATCAGCATTCATATTTTTCACGCTGATCTCTCTACATCGCTAATGGTAATGACACGGAGAGTTAGTATTACAGTCAAGCGGCTCTTAAAATTGGGCATCTTGTCCTTCCTTCTCGTGACCTTAGGCTTTGCATTTAATTCAAGGGTTATATTGTAAGGATAACTTAGAAGCCAGTCGCTCTTAGGAGTTGAAGGGTTTACCAATTTAAATATCACACCAAGGAACTCGCGAAAAGTTAAAGTTGTTGGTAAGAGTAAACTGCGTTAGAAATCAGAGGTAACTTAGGTGAGACTGGGCAAAGGGTTGCATCTGACTGAATGAGAAGGTTAATGAGTTTGTACTTGGAATTGATGAAACTCCGGAAGTTTACTTGCTTGTGAAGTGAAAGACGCCTATGTGGGCGCTGATGCAAACTATCGTTCAATATAAAATTTAGTGATTGTTATTTACAGCCTTCAATTGGAAAAAGTATCTTCTGTGGTGAGCCTGTTATGCACATTGTATGAATACTTTAATTTTTATTTCTTTTTGACAGGAAAAAATGAAAGAATTTCAAGCTCGTTTGGACGAGGCTCGTAAGAAACGTTTGGAGGAGCGACGGAAAGAGCGCATTTTGGAGAGGAAAAAGCAGCGACGACATGAAAGGGAAGAGAAAGAACGAAAGGAACAGGAAGAAAAAGAAAAGAGAGGTGAAACTTTTTACGTTTGTCAATGTCACTTTGTCGCAATGCTTCAAATTCTAATTCGACCCAGAAAATTTTAACTATAAGCTGTGCACATCTACTCGGATCGAAGGATGTGGGGAATCATATGGTTTTTTAGGGAGAACGGAGGAGTCGTCTCTAACAGCATTTGTGGGGACTGGATAAAATTGAGGGAAGGGGAAATATGTAAATTTTATTGTGACACAATCAAAATTCTCTGTCTCCCTTCCCCCCCAACACCTCTTTGCCTCAGGCAGTATATAATGACCGATTTCTAAGTTTTTTTTCCGTGCCTCAAGAGTCAAAGGAGAGGAGAGTATGTCGTTTTCCTCTTTTCTCTGCCATAGAACGCGAAGAAGCCGAAGAGAAAGCCAGGATAGAAAAGGAAGAGAAAGAACGTGAGTACCGCGAGAGGGTCGCAAAGCTGGACGAGATGGAGCGCAAGCGGCGAGAGAGGGAGAAGGAAATTGAGGAAAAGAACCAGCGAGGGAGCAGGCCTGACAGTGAACCGGATGGTCCACCAAGGGGATTGGAACGGGACAGAGACAGGGACCGATATGGACCTCCTCGCCGGGAAGAGAAAGGTTCGAGTTATTTCTTATGAATTGTTTGTTGGTTGGTTGGTTTGTTTTTCATTCGGTTGTAAGACCTTACCCAGTGTTATGAACGGAACTGTGAGAAAAGATCTTGAATGAGCTTGCATTCAAGTGATGGAAAAAAAAAGCGTTTTTTGTTGGAGAAAAAAGTAAGTGGCTGATAAAAATAAACCATACCTGTTTCCTCGCAAATTCTTTTGAAGTCTTTCGTAGCCCACATCTCAAGCCCCTCCCCCCTCCAATTCTTCTGTCTTCTGATGAAAACTTCTCGCTATTTAAGCTCTTTCAGCATTCTTTTAAAGGATAATCTGTAAAAGTTCCTCTCGTCATTTCGACTTATTCATAACGCTCCGTTACAATGATTCGGAAAGACAAGTTTACAGTTTTTTCTTCTATTTTGGATAATCCACGCACACAGGTTTAAGTCGCAGAAATTTAACCTTTTGAGCAATAAGTACTTTTTCCCTTTGATGCCAATACATTCTCAAGCAATCAGGGGAATATAATAAAGAAAAAATATTTACCAAGGGTTTTTGTTTGGACGGCAACTTCTCTTAATTAACATTGTAATAGTCGTACGATGGATCATAAGGAGAATTAATTTCAAGATTGGGAGCCCAAAAGGAATGTTCCAAGATGGTTTTCAAAAGGCCCACAGCAAACCATTCGGGCGGCCAGACAGCGTTTATGTCGGAGTGTAATACTTGCACTTAGTATGTTGCCCTTCTTCACAGACGAAGGTGGATCATGGAGGCGCGATGAACGGGAGAGGCCACCACCTGATGTTGAGAGGCGCCGTGAGGAACGAGAACTGCTACCCTCAAGCCGTGACCAGGAGGAGCGCGAACAGGACCGTGAATCCACAGGTGGATGGCGTCGTGATGGCCGTGATGATCGTTTCCGCGACGACCGTTCCCGTGACGATCGTTATCGCGATGATCGCATGCGCGACGACCGTTTCCGTGATGGGGGTTCAGGTAATTTGAAACCATAATTTTGAGATGTATAGCCCGGTGTTTTAAGTGTTCGGGTTTTTTTTGTTGTTAAGGATTAAGGCAAACTGTTGTTATGGTGACTGTAGCTTCCCCTAATGAAATTCAGGTCTGAGGTATTCAGGGGCTCCTAATTTGTCCAGACGGCCCTTGGAAAGAATACTACTCTTAAAGCAGGAAATGCCCAGCCCTGAAACCTTGTTTCAGGTACCCGTTCATCAAGAAGGGAGGGGTGAGGCGGGGGAACGCTTTAAGACGACCGCAAAAAGAGCGCACAGGATTACTGTGGAATGGCGTCGTCAAACTGCTCGAGAATTCATCGATCCCAGCGGTAAAGAAGTTGCCCGCTGACCTAATTAGTGAATATGTCATAGGACAAAATTTAACGATGTAACAGCAGCAATGATTCGTTTTAGGTGGAGGCTGGAGACGAGATGATCGTGACAGGGAAGGGCCTCGTGATGAGGGGTCAACTTGGAGGAGGTCTGGGGAAAGAGATGGTCCGAGAAGAGGTTTGAGATTATCATAGACTTAAGTGCGAGTGGCCTTTTCAGAACTTGTAGCTCCCTACACGTAGAGTTGATGCACTGTTACTTTCTGAATCCAGAGGAGAGTTAGAAATACTCTCCTTCAATGAAACAAATATTTTAATTTTCTCTTATTTAGATATGGACCGCCCTAGAATGGACGATCGTGGTCCTTGGAGGAGAGATGACCGTGATCGTCCATCCTCAGGTAGCGGGTGGCGAGACCGTGATGACCGTGACCGTCCACCACCCAGTTCCTATCGTGACGATCGCGGCCGAGATGATCGTGGGCGTGACGACCGTGGACGGGACGACCGTGGACGGGACGACCGTGGGCGGGACGACCGTGGACGGGACGACCGTGGACGGGACGATCGATGGCGTGATGAACGCGGTCGTGATGATCGTGGACGCGATGATCGTGGGAGGGACGATCGTGGTCGTGATGATCGTGGACGCGATGATCGTTGGCGTGGGCGTGATCGAGAAGAGCGTGACCGTCCGTCGGGGGATTCTTGGCGCGGTGATCGTGGAGATGGGGGTCGAGATGATCGTTTCCGAGGAGACCGTGAAGGAGATCGCTACAGAGGAGATCGTGATGAACGTGATCGTTCTGGTTGGAGGAACGAACGCCCAGATGATCGTGATCGTGATCGTGATGCGTGGAGAAGGGGGGGAGGGGACGATCCAGGACGTGATCAGTGGAGACGAGACCCACCACCTGCACGTTCTGAAGGTTTGTTAGGAGTGTTAGACAAAGGATTGGAAGTAATTTTTTTCTGACTTTTGATATGCTTTATACTCAGGTAAATCCTGGTCTGCCTCCCGTCGCGGTCGAGAAAGACCCCCTGCGGAGCAATCTGATGGTGACGGTTGGACCACAGTACAGTACAAGTGATCAACTCATACTAATACACTACCCTGGCAAGGAGTTAATAAAGCCACTCAATGCTTCCTTGGTTTGGCGCTTAACCGGATGTGTTCATAGCTGACCCATTATGTCAGTCATATTTGGAGTGTGAACGTTTACAAAAATGATTGCGATTGTTACGTCTATTTCGCTGGTTTTCAGTCATAACTTTGGTCTTCCCGTTGTTGTGGGACTGCGTTTAGTTTGTCTTATTCGGTGCTGGCCTTGTCTTTCGATGAAAACCTATACTTAAGCTTCAAGGAATTCGGTGAGAGCAGAGAAAATTGTATGATATCATGAGACATCTTTTTTTCGTTTGTTTTTCGTTTTTTTGTTCAATTCAATTCAATTCAAACTTCAGCCAGGGTAGATGATAGGAAACGAATTGTGTTCACATTAAACGATACGTGTAAACAGTTAGTGTGTGTGGAGTTTTTTCTGTCTCGTAAGTTTAGCCTGAAACTCGCTGACGACGCAAACGCAGTCACACATGTATTCACATCAAACAAAGGGGAAAAAGATGACGTTTAAAGCATTCCATGTGAGTTGCAATAGCTTAATTTCTTTTTGAGAGGAAATTACTAGCCACAGCACAAGGAAAGATGACCTCATCAGAGGATAATTTTCCCATTATGATCTTTCGTGGTGCTAGCTTCTTATTCCGAGGCTCTGAACCTGCCGTCGTCATCGTTATATCATGAGATATCGGTCGAAGTGATAGTCTGATTTCGGTAGAACAGATAAATGGCCTTTCTATAGTAGTGACGTTCAGAGTATTTTCCTGGTGGGACTTGGAGTTGAGTAATTAAATTTCACGTATGGTTACAAACTGTGCTATTTTGTGGTCGAGAGCGATGACTTCACTTAAGCACGACAACAACGGTGACGTTCGCTTGTAGTTAATGATCAACTAATTTCAGGATCTTGGTATCCGCCTGTCCCTTCATCGCAATTTGATCATCTGGTCGATGAATATAACCTCCCTTACACAGACATAAGCGTTAAGTCGTGCGCGGGAAGAATACCTTGCGTCTTATGCCCTCTGATCTGACGAGTAGTTAGGGTGAAACATTTTATGACTCGATTACTAGCTAGCCACTGTACGGGAAACGATCCCGTGCTTCCGTCCCGTCACCCCCACCCAGGAGAAACAAGCGGAAATCGTGACTGCAGTCAACTCAGACGCGCTTGAACAATCAAGTGAAGTAAAGTTGTTTTGAAATACCCATCCTCGGGCAGTTTTCTGGGTTGAATTGTCAAAAGAATTCAAGTACTGCTGTGTTTACAATTTTCCGGAGGGTTACTTACTGGATCCTCTGTTGGGGTGACACTAAGTGACTGGTGTGTTTTCTTAGAACGATAAATTTAACCGGAAGAGGTTTGGCGGAATTACATCGGCTGACACTTGAATTTCAAAATAAATACAAAAGAGAGTTAACGTAACCTGTATTCAAATTAGCCGTTTTCTTTGTCATGCAATTAACTTTCTTTAAAACAATTGTTAAGAATCGCTGGCTGGTAGAGTTGAAGCTTAGGTCAATATTTCATTGACGTCATACTATGAATGCTGACTTCCTCGTTTTCGTAGAAGCACGTCGCACTCAGTGTGAGATAAAAGCATTCATTCCCTTGATTGCACCAGTCAAATATACTCGCTGAACAGTAGACTGTAAGGACTAAAACTGAGATACACAAAATCAGCTCATCGCAGTTTTCAAGGAATACTTTTTCCACTTGCGTTCTAAAATCGAATACATCGGCTGTAACGCGTCGATACATGTAACACACCGAACTTAATGACTTTAGCAATGGAGCATACAATTTCTTCACCGAAGTATTCTGTACAAACAGCAGATGATCCATTGACGATGATTAGCCCAATATTCTTTCTCGTTCTAGCGGTGGTGGATTTCACTCTGTCTGTGGTTACTACAACAGCGAACGGAGCGCTATTGTGGACAATTAGTCGTGACACTCGTCGCCTACTTCAAACGCCTCCGTCTTTGCTGATCGCAAACTTGTGTGTTTCTGATCTAACGGTTGGATTGATTGCTGGTACTCTTGTAGGCGTGAAAGATGTTTATCGATATCAAGGTTTGGACGTTCCCGAGTTTCTGGATCTTATAATCCGTTTGGTGCTTGGATTATCACTCTTTGTCAGTAGTGGGTCTATCATAGCTCTGTCCTGCGATCGCTACATTGCTGTAATGCATCCGTTTAAATACCGAACCAACATGACTAAGGAAAGAATTAGGATTTGCATCGCTAGTATCTGGGGAATTGCCGCGACTGTGTGCTTTCTACCGTTAACAAATGTTCCTGAAGAAATATTCAAGATCGTGTATGCGCATACTCACGCATCGTTCCCCGCCATATTGTTAACAATCATGTACTGTAAAGTCTTCCTCGCTTTGGGAAAAAGGAAACGCGAACTTAAAGAAGCTGGAATCACCGCCACGATGAAAAGCAAACAAGCGTTAGACCGCGAAAGGAACATGGTCGTGACAATTCTGATTGTGTTGGCGTTATTCTACGTGACAGTCGTACCTGAATTCGTTGCGTTACATCTAATGTACTTTTGCCAGTCGTGCAAACGATCAATACTTTTTAGAAAGTTGGAGATTGTGTTTTCGCGATTTCTTTTCCTTAATTCTGCCTTAAATCCCTTTGTGTGTGCATGGAGATTGCCCAAGTATCGCCACGTATTCCTAAGGGATCGCTCTAGCAAATTTCCACCCACAAAGGTTTAAGTTCTTCGCGATCGATCATAGACTATACTTTTTATTAAGACACGCTGGGAATTTTAGGAGCGCCTGCATCCTCCAGACTACTGGTATTCGTTGCACGACCTTTTTTGTAAATATAAAAAAAAATATGTCTATAAGTGTAAATTATTCAGTTGTATCTAATAAAGCATAGCAAGCTAAGATAATTGATTTTGCTCATTCGAATACTTTACGAACAGATGGATAATTGGCAAAGAGATAAATACGGCTGTTTCATGTGTTCTGCAAGCGTAACGGTAATTTTCAAAGCAATCTTCACCATTGTTATGAGAGATTCGATCTAAGAGACTGATTACCCTTATGAGAGTCATATGAACCTCATGCAAAAGCATTATCCGCCATTACCGCTGTGGATGTTACTAAAATCAGGAACGGAGAACGGGGAATGAAAAACAAAACAAAACAAATTAAGAACGGGGAACGGGGACACGGGAGTGCACTCAGTGCATTTTTAGTGAAAAAGATCATTCCACTAACAATAATTTATTTCTGATTTCGCCATTCTCTGGAAAAAAAATTAACAGTCAATTTTCTTGATTTTCTCCCAACCACATCCAATTCCTTAACTCTCGAGTAGTGCTTAACTCAGTTATTATGCAGACTTAACCAGTTGTTACTATTCATCATAAAATATTGATATAAAAAAGACGATAAAAAATTTCAATACGAAACTGAAACATATATTATGTTATAATTGTTAAAGTTGTGTTATCCATACTGTTGAAGCTACCTTCAGTGTTACTTAAAAAACAATTTTTTCCATTCTTTTTGTTATGTTGAAAATAAGTTGCAAAAAGTGCTTGCTCATTTTTCTTAACATTTATGTGATCCAATTTGTCTCAAAAATTTAGTTTCTTTAGCACTCTGTTTTCTTCTTTTTTTTTCACAATTACATGCAAAACAATGCATACTTTTCCTAGTTTGCAACTGACCATTCCCTTCCGATATGTGACTAGAAATTCTCCCTACTGTCTGTCACACAATTGTTACTTCAGATAATTTGGTGTTTGATCAACTAACAATTCACAATTGTATTGATATTGTAAGGAGAAATTCTGTTTTGGTCATCACTCATGGGAGCTTAAGGGTTAATCCTTTAATCCCTAAGAGTGACTGGCATCTAATTTTTCCTTACAATATCACCTGTGAATCAAACATTAAGGTCATGAGAATGAAGGAGATGATCACCAACAAAAGATGCTCTTGATTTTCAAACAAACTCTCCTTATAGGTAATGTAGAAATGTATAGAGAACAGTATCGAGAATATGCATACCGATGTTAGGATCAACAGTAAAGGGTTAAGCTTGAATTATCTCCAAGAAAATAAGTGGCTCACTAAGGAATACAAGATTGTTATCTTATGGCGTCTGAATCCAAGTATTGAATAGATCAGCATTTTTTGCCTGCATGATAGTTGTGTAGACAGTCTCATTATTCAGTACAGGATGGATGGACATGACATTGAACAGTGCATCAGGGGTGAGTTTTGCCTGAGTCAACTTTTTCAATGCCTTCTCAGCCGGGTCGCGGCGATCATCTGATGGAGGGGGTGTGGTCCAATGGTCATAATTGGTCTCTACAAGGTACCACCTGCATATTCAACACAAAAATGATTCAATCCTGAGATGTAACCATCCATATGAGGGTAGTTTGTAAAGTTCAGGATAAAATTAACCTCCTTTTCAAACCTCATAATTCATATGTACTTTCTCACTTTTCTTAAGTTTCAAAATTGCATAATCTCTTTGTATTTACTAGTAGATAATAAGCTGAATTACACACCATTTGATTGGTTCTTACTTATGACCTATTGAAGGACAGACACAAAAATGATGTCACCAGCAACAACCTTTTTCTTTTTCTTTTATAAAATATATTCATTTGGTTCCATGTTACTGTGGCTCTGTAAATCTGGAAAGTAATAGATCACAGAAGACACCAAAATGCTTAGGGTTAGAGTATCAGCGACAAACTTGGCCATGTTATGTGCAACTTTCTTTCTTGTGTTCTTGTTTTCTTCCACATTTTGACATAACCTGAGATATATCACTAAACATAAAATTATGTACCACAACATGACATCTATTTGTTAAGTACATACGGTTCCTTTGCTGCATCTTGACTCAGCCTCCAGATGTCAGCTGTTTTTTCTCTGCCTCGTGTTACCACAGCACCTTCCCCAACTTTAACTCCTCCTAAAATAAGATAGCTAGCTGCTATCAAGGACACTTGAGATACTTTCTTCACAGCTTGAGAAAAGTCCATTCCTTCTGTGCTGACCACATCTCGAATCAGAAATGTAACAGGAATTGCATTTTTATTAAAGATAGCTTCAAAGACATTATCCCATATGTGGCCACGGTCCCTCTCATCCAGACTGATTGTGAGACTGTTCGGTCGCTGTGCTGTCAAAAGACCAACCTGGCCAGCAAATGTTACACCAGTGTACACCACCTTACCTATAAAGACCAATGATAAACTGTTTCACTCCCAAATCCCACTATTTCTTCTCCTTACTGTTTGCCATACAATTTGTATCATAGCAGTATGGAGAATTAGGTATTGGAACAATAAATAATCCCTTAACTGATGTTTTTCTTTATTCTCATCACTTGTCTGCTTGATACTGCATGGATATTGTCAGAAGAAATTCTATTTTGATCACTCATGGGAGTTAAAGGGTTAAAAGGTTATGCATTTCAGGTGTTAAAGGCTTCAATGATCAAATCAACTCTGGTCAATGAGTAGAAAGTCACATTTTCTGATCTTGTCTTTATCATAAAACAGTTGTTGTCTGCAGAGCATGAAGTGCTGATGAACAGTGAATGAACAAAGACTGAAAAATTAATGACAATCTCTCTCAAACAATATTGAATATGATCATTAAATTTATTGCATTTAGTTACTAAATGCAACATGATGTGATAAATTTTCACATCAAGGAATGATGCTTACCAAGGGGCGTTAACTCTTCAAATTGATCAACGCATCGGAAGCTTATGAACTGGCACATTTAATTCAAATAATCCTTGAATTTTAAAGACTGTCACTGTCACTGTCACTCAAAATAAGCTTTCTTGCCTATTAACCGGATCAGTTATTTCCTACCATAGCCTTTTTCCACTGAGCTATACACCAGTGCGAGGAATGTGAGAGTTCAATTACTATTCATTTTATATTACATGCTGGACGGAACAGGATAGAAGAATCGCACACTTACTGTCTAAAGAATAATTTATAGTTCACCTTTGCTTTGAAAGTTGGATATGAAAGTTATATCCCGCAGCGTATCTGTAAAAGAGTAATCCAGGTTTCTTCCATGAAAAACACTTCCATCCTTGTCTTGTGCAACGATACTCGTGCAAAAAGCTGTTACGTCGTATAAAATGTTGAGAAGTATTGTGTCTGAAAAGCTTAGATTAAGTCCCTTTGATATACCCATCATCTCTTTATTATACTCCTCGGGGAAATGTTTATCAATTACAACAGCAAGCTTTTCTGCAAGCGGTATTGCAAACGGTGGAATCTTCTTTCGCAGATTTGCTAAAATCTTCGGAGTGTATTTCAGGTATTTCTGGGTAATATTGAGCCATCTTTCTTCTGGAGCAAGATCGAGGTCAATGGTATAACTTGGCGCTTGAAATGGCTCACATTGAGTGGGTTTAAAGCTGAAGAATACTACACAAAGGCAGCCAATACACAGCGTCCGTACCGCCATATTGAACACCATGCTGACTTCCGGTTTCCAGAATAACCGTGACAGATCGATATTAATCGGAGAACAAAAACTCGTGACATTTGATTGACGCGTTACTCATTTCCTTTTTTAGCGCACAATTTGAAAGAAGCAGTCGTTGGTTTCTGGTTCGATCAAATATCAGCAGTTTTTTTCTGGTCTTTCGCTGCCATAATGAGTGTATTGCAGCGAATGTTTGGAGGTAAGAATAAGGAAAATATTCCGACAACTGAAGATGCAATCCAAAAACTGAGACAGACCGAGGAAATGTTGGAGAAAAAGCAAGAATTCTTGGAGAAAAAAATCGATATGGAGAACGCAACAGCGAAAAAGCACGCCAAAACGAACAAGAGAATTGCGCTGCAAGCCTTGAAAAGGCGGAAACGCTTTGAAAAACAGCTTAATCAGATTGATGGAACTTTATCGACCATAGAATTTCAGCGTGAAGCCTTGGAAAACGCTAACACAAACACCGAAGTTTTGAAGAATATGAATTATGCTGCTAAAACACTGAAGAGCATTCATCAAGTTCTCGATGTGGAGGATGTTCACGACATTATGGATGATATTCAAGAACAGACAGAAATTTCTAAAGAGATTTCGGAGGCAATCTGTGGTGTAGGTCTGAATCAAGACTTCGATGATGAAGGACTCGAAGCCGAATTGGAAGCCATCGAACAAGAAAGTCTCAACAAAGAACTTCTTGGAATGGAACGTCCTAACACAGGATTACCGAACGTTCCATCGACAGATCCGTTAATGAAAAACAAAACTATGCGTGATGATGATGACCTGAAAGATCTCGAGGCCTGGGCTATGTAAAAACTGAGAACTTTATGTAGAACACATTATTAATCGCAGACTCTTCTGAAGTAAACGAAGTTTAATGTTCCGTAAGATGGCTTGCTGAAAGAAAATTGAGTTTGTACAGTATCAGCTAAGCATGTACCTTAACTGCAAAATAATGAACGTGTTAAAGCGTATTTATGCCGCTTCTAGATTAAAATTTATGTGCACTGGGAAAGAAGCGTTAATTAATTTTGACAGATTGTTATGATACAACGCAAGAGTTGTTCAAGAAAGAAATAAAATAAAACTGTGATACAATGAAATAAAACTGTGATTCATGTATTTTATGCAGTACACCGCAAATCCAATTTGGGAAGAAATGGCTCTATTTTTCTAAAGCCTGATTAATCAGATGCAAAGCTGAAAATTCCACAGACTTCGTTCTAGTTTCCACCTTGTATGAGTCCATTCCATATTTCTATATGTCACCTCCGGCCGTAGCCTGAGTACTAGTTTATCTTCCATTTCGCGCTTTCGCAGCACACAGAATTTCCTATTTATCACATCGGAAGTTGAGTTGCTCTTTGTTTGACATAAGCCCGCAACTTCATAAACCAAAACAAGCCTGACAAGCTTCATGCTTCGTCATTGAATGCGTGCAAGTTCTTTGTTTTGTATAAAAGGATTAGGCGCCTCTTCGTTGTCTGATCTCGTTCGTTTTCAGTAGCGCCATGTGTGGGCAGCGATCCATCATCGCTGAAAGCAAACCATCGCATTGATCGAAGAGCCCTGTGGAGCAATCAACTGATAAATGGATCTAGAGGATTTATCGAGCTTTTGGGCGAGATTTCAGATCGCCTTTTCGTGGGATTATCCAGAAGGCTGGGATATACAAGCTGTGCAGTCAGCCGTGTTTCATGTTGTAGGCGACAGCGAAACGAGGTGAGATTAAGATCGAACATCACTGTTTTATTACCTATGATAACGGCACTAACAGTAATAATAATTGCAGGTGAAGTTTATCCCTTTGATAACTTGTCAATAAAAATCGCAGTTTTAGGCTGATATCCTTTTTGATTTCCCACTGTGTTTTGTGATAAAATCGATCACGGTGATTCGTGCTTTCTAAGAACAGGTTCATTCGATTAATCCTTTGAGGTGCTTAGATAAACACACTGTAACAATGTAAAATCTCTTATGATGAACTGTCTCGTTTTCTCTTGGCGAGTGCAGGTTAACTTTTGCCTTTATAAAGAAACCAAACAAATCAGGTGAAATCACAGGAGGTCCTTCTTTGTAAAACTCTGGTTGAATTTATTATCACGCGATGGTAATTTTTATCACAAACAATTTCCTTTTCGTTCAAGAACACCCATCATGACAGTTCATTCCAAAGCAAGCAGCGCTACCACAATTACGTTTAACCTTAGTGAACGCCGCGAATACTCTGTTAGCACTTTAAATACGTTTTATCACAATAAAGAATACAGTTTAACCAATGGATTTTATATTTTCACTTTTTACGACGATATTATAGATATTTCCGTGATATCGTCGATCTTCCAACTGTTCTTCTTGTTGATAAGGCGGATCGAAACGAAAAAGCATCTCCTCGATATCTTGACGAAGGTCAAGAGCAATTTTAGCCAAAGAAGGATTCTAGAGACAATTACTAGATGTTTATCTTTATGCCTTAATAAACATGGAGTAAAAGGCTTTTTGTCTTTCCTTTCTTGTCCAAGGATCTCAAAGTGCATTCTTGTGGGTTTTTTATGTTAATTTATGTCGTTTAAACTATGGATGTATAAAATTTTTGGAACCTCCCTGTAGAGTTTGTATAAAATAACTTCGATACTTTATAGCTAAATCTAAAAAAACGAGTGTGCTCACTTCATGCATGAGAGAAATTCAACTATGCAAATAGCCTACAATTCACAACGAATAAACCCATTTCTTTCTACAAGTTTTTTAAATTATTTTTTCCATTGGTGGCAAATTTAAAAAGTAGACTAATCCAGATTTGTTTGTTCTGTAAACAATTAATCTGTATTTTAAATGCAAACATATTTCTTTGTTTGCTAAATGTGGTTGACATATGGCGTGGGAAAATTTCTTTTGAATATGATCAAATATAGTCTCACTGTTCCATTTCCTGTTATCTCATTGTGATATACATTCGATCAACGTTTGTGATGGTACTGAACTGCACTATAGTTATTGTTCACTTGCATGTAACATTGGAATGTTTATTAACCTTTTAAATCCTCAGAGTGACTAGAATCAAATTTCTCCCTACAATATCAACCCTGAATTACACTTTAAGGTCATGAGAATAAATGAAATGATCACCAACAAAAGAAGCTTTTGATTGGTAAAGTGTATTAGGAGCAGCATGGCAAATATGCATACTGATTTTAGGGTGTTAAGAGCTAAAACAACTTAAAACTAGAAGTAAGTTATTCTACAGTGAACTCCTGATTTATAATTAATTCATTGTAAAGTCTTTGTAGACTGACAATTGGATTCTGATGTTTGGATATAAAGGGTTGAAAAAATTTTCAAAAATTCAGGTTACTTTTTTCTCTAGTCTCAAACCACAGAGAAAAATGTATTTTTCATTGGGGAAGATGACAATTGTGTTGTTTGAGAGAAGTACAGTAATATACTTCTTCTTCAAAGCTGTATTGCAGTAAATTTGTAATGAAACATCCAAAATTTTTTCTACTAAGCATTCATGATATACATTTCAGCAACAGAGCTCATAAGTTTCTCTATCTTCATGCTTTTGTCATTGCTGATACTACAGTTTGCAGCTAACATTATGCATGTGAATTAGTTTATAATCCATCTTACCAACAAGTTTTATTTAGCTCTGTTGGTAGAACAACCCAGGTTTTTTCTTTCTCTCATGCTTGTGATGGAATTTAATGTTAATTATCTCTCTTTGATACAACCCAGTTCTAAGAAGGTAGCAAGCTTGGGTCCTAATCCTGTTTCATGCACAAATTTTAGAAAAACTCATGCATTACATACACTTTAAACTGAAAGTACCTTTTTCATGTGTCACAAATGTAATAGTAAGTTGACAATCTTGACTTGAAACTTGATACTCAATCCTCAAAACTTAATTGGAGGATCAAGAATTAAAAATTAATAATTGAGAAGCAAGGATTGAGAACTGAGAATCAAAGAACAAGGGAATCTAAACTTAGCTTGTGCAGTTCTATGATATGTAGTCAAGTGTGACACTGGTTTCACAGCTATCTCCTGTCATTCTCTAGGGAGCATATTTAAGCCATTGTGCTTGTATTTTTATTGTATGTTTTAGGCAGTTTTCTTTTACAGTTTCCTGTATGTTTATTTTGTTTTTCTTTTCCATAGGGCTCAGGATCAGCTTGTTGTGGGGTGTGTTCAGACAGCTGGAGCAGGTGTGATCCTAACCCAACCAAAACCACACAGTGATGTAGTCCCATGTGAAATGAGCTTCACAGCACACCCTTTGGCTCAGGAATTCTACATTAAAAACATCGTCATTGTCTCTGAAGCAAGGAACGTTGAGCTGTATGTTGATGAAAACTATGAGAGAACAGCAAAGGGTATCATGCTTACAATTCGCAAAGGAAGGTATGAAGATCACATTATTTTTAAACCATAGTCAATGCACTTTGGTATTTTATTCCATCCTGGGGTAAATTTATCTGATAATTGTCATACATCATTAACCCTTAAACTCCCATGAGTGACCAAGACAGAATTTCTCCTTACAATATCAATACAATATCAACCAGATAAGTGATGAGTATAAAGAAAAATATCAATATGGGGATAATTAGTTGATCCAACACTAAATTCTCTGAACTAACATTATAAGAATTGTATGGTTGACAGTAAGGAGAATTACAAAATTGATCTTAGACTTAAAGCCATTAACAGAATCACAGAGAAATGTTTAACCTGATTAATGTTCATATTCTCCACACTGTTCCCTTTACATTTTCTATGGTACTGAAAAGGAGGATTTTGCTTGACATCACAAGCTCCTTTAGTTGCCATCATTTTCCTTATTCTCATGAACTTACTGTTTGATTTAGCTAAGGAGAAATTATATCCCAGTCACTCTTAGGGGATTAACCCTTTAACTCCCAGATGAAATTTGTAATTCTCCTTACTCTCAACCATACAATTTTTATAATGTTAGTTTGGAGAATTTAGTATTGGATCAACTAATAATCCCCAGATTGATATTTTTTTTATTCTCATCATTTATCTGGTTGATATTGTATTGATGCTATAAGGAGAAATTTTGTCTTGGTCACTCATGTGAGTTTGAGGGTTAAGGCTTAAAGCAAAACACTCTACAACAGATGTGGCAGTCACTTTTGTGCAAAATTATTTTACTGCTGTATTTATTACACAATCATTTCCAATGGGTATGAATTATTTTTAAGTACCTTCATGTTAATTTTATCATGCTGTACTTTTTTCTCAGAAAAGTATCCTTATTTGAAACTGAGTTTGACTTGACTGAGTTCATTCATGGAACTTGCAGATGCCTAGTTAAGGTAAGTGAGAGTGTAAATTGGTGCAGGGGGCACTCTGTTGTTAGGAAACCTATGATTTTCAAGAGAATGGGAACCATTATCAAGGCACTAAAAAATGTGTATTAACAACCACCCCTTTCTTTAAACTCACTGACTTGGTATCATTCCTTTAAAGGTGATAATGTCTTGACCATTGGTGCTGTCCCTCCTAACAAAGTGAGCTGGCTTCAGTTCTTGGACCAGTTTTCATATTTTAACAAAGTCTTCTAACACCTACCTCTCACAAACTTTATAATATGACAGGTGCAAAGACCCTTTTACTTAACAG